TCTATCTCTTCCACCCGTTCCACCCCTCCCCCAACCCCTCACCCCCCCCCAAAAAAAACAACCCAACTCCACTGCGAGGGGTCAGACTTGGCTGACCCTCAGGTGTCGACTGTACTTCGGCAGTCTGACTAATCTTTTCCCGGTCTTGTGGTTGGTTCTTCTATTTTCTTTTCTCTTTTGTGATTGTGCACGTCGAGGGGGGGTAACGCTTTTGTGATATGGATCTTTTTTTTTGCCGCGATCTAGTGGAGTAGAAAACCACTTTTCTGAGCGTTTGAGACCGCGGTGTTATTCTCAGCATTTTCCTTTTAGGCAAGGAGTGGTTATTTGTTCAAGAAAACCAGCCTTCCGACACCTGAAAGCATTTAGTTGAACTTAATGAACAAAAAGTACTTAAAAAACGATTCTGAAATAGTAATTGAAGAACATCGCTTGGAAAGTTTGAAGATCACAAAGAACATTCCAGGAGGAAAAAAACTCTGATCGTACAGCCCGAAATAAGAATTTCTTTTGGGAAGTAAAAAAAGATTTCACACTGCGAGAGCATCAATAATATCGTGAGGTTAGTCGAGCCACCAAAAGTTGCCACCATGTCGCAGTCTTTTATCCGGTCGAGCACCACCATACCTGGCAATACTTCTGTCACGGAAAAACGCACCGTGATTACGTCATCAAGTTCGTCCGGCTCCGCGCTGGGCGGTTTGGACGACGACTCTATCTACTACAAGTCGAGCATCACCCCCCGAGCGTCTTCCATAATGCGCACGTCCATGCCTACGTCACCCATCCGCACCACTCGTACGGTGGAGATGAGCAGTGGGTTCATCCCACATACCGCCAACGTCACCGCTACGGGGGTGAACAGCTTCAAGAGCAATCGCGAGAGGGAGAAGAAGGATCTGCAAGACCTCAACGAGCGGTTCGCGAACTACATCGAGAAGGTTCGGTTCCTCGAGGCGCAGAATAAGAAGCTGGCTTCCGAGCTGGAGCAGCTGAGATCGCACTGGGGCAAGGAAACGAGCGCGGTCAAGCAGATGTATGAGACCGAGTTGGAGGAGGCGCGCAAGTTGATCGATGAAACCAATAAGGAAAAGGCGAGGCTTCAGCTCCGGGTGGGGCAGCTGGAGGAGCAGCTGGACGACTTCCAGAGGCAGTGAGTGACTCTCAGAGTCTTGTTGATTGTTTGTTTTCTTGTTGTGCTCTTGTCTATTTGTGTGTGTGTGTGTGTGAATATGTCTGTGTGCCTGCGTGTGTGTGTGTGTGTGTGTGTGTGTGTGTGTGCGTGCGTGTGTGTGTGTTTGTGTGTAAGTGTGTGTGTATGTATGTATGTCCTTGTGGTTTGTTGTGTGCGTGTGTGGAGGGGGTGGGAAGGGTGGGAGGTGGGTATATCACAATGAGAGTTACAACCTGAGAACGTGAGTTGCTTATGGTGCTTCAAATCCCATTTGGTTGGTTGGAAACTCACCTCTACACCGCCAACCCCCCTTCCCCTCATCTTCCTCTCTTCTTTCTATTCCTCTCTCTCTCTCTCTCTCTCTCTCTCTCTCTCTCTCTTCATCTCACTCTATCCTTCTTATACAACTACCCATCTCCATTTACTTCCTTTCGTGTTGGTTAGTACTTGCACGCATATGCGTGAGCACGCATTTCCCTCTACCTAGACGTCCCCCAAACCACCATTTCCAAATCCCCAAAGAATTGAGTGACTTCCCAATTACACCACTTTATCCTCACC